CATGCCGCGGGTAATGAGATCTTTCTTCTGAGAGTTCGAATGGGTCTGTATTTGATTGGCAGTTTCTAGTGGATTCATGATTGATTTTTGGTGACCCGACCAGTCGGATGATTTCTGACGACTTTTTCGTGTACGGCTTCGATCCCGGGGCCATCTATCGTGTTCACTATGATACACGCCTCTGTCGTCATTTATCTCTTGAAACATGTTCATTGGGATCTTCTTTATTCATATTCTACATGAACTTTGCCATCTAGGGAGTAACTTCATTGCTTCAAGGTCACCGATAAGGCCTCCGACATGATGCTTGTTCTTTGATTGCGGCACTTTCAGAAGTGCCCTTAGTTTACATTTCACCGGATTTCATCATTTGCTTATGGTTTTTAGTGCTGGCAAAATTTTGCTCGTCCATTGTGCGCTCAATAGAGAAACGTTGGTTTGCTACGCTGTCAACTTGCAGCTGGTATTCACCAACTGTCTTCTCTACTGTATTCGAGGCTTCTAATGACTCAGTTGGCTGAGTTCTGTTATATAAACTCCAGCACATGACAGACAAACATGGCACTTTCTGATAACCCATCTCCATAGGGGTCTGGATTGAACAATGATCATTCGTTCCGCAGGGAGCCTTATCCGAAGATAACGATTTGAACGAAATCAGGGGTTCTCTAAGGAACCACTTGCGATGTGTTTCGGGGCAATTTTGGGGATCTTCGATCTCAAAATCCCCAATCTTGAAAGCTCTCTGGTTGGAATCGGTTCGGATAGCTGCCACTTCTGTTAGTTTCTTGAGAGTTACCGTAATTCCAATCGACTGGTGTCCAGGGTCTTTGGCTGACTGGACAGATGTGACTTCCTTCCAGAGGAATTCCCTCGGGACATCTGCCAGTTTAAAGACATCCATGGTTTTCTCCGCAATAATTATTCATGCGCAGATCTTCCTGCAGGTTCTCCATGAGGGGATATAGTAGTAAATCCGAACGCCCGGCATCATCCAACGTTGAGAGCGCTCGATTCAACAGGGCGCGCACGGCCTGGCATGTGACGGGGGGAGGGAGTTCACACCAACTCCAAGCTGCGCCGTCATGAAACTCCGCAAAGCCCTCTGGCGGTCGGCCGGAGTGTCAAAACCTGCGATCATGGCGTCCCTTGCGGTGGCGCACTACATCTTCCCCGGGCCTCTTCGCACCGCTTCCAATATCGCCCGCGCCCGGCCCTTGAGAAGCGCTCGGAAGGCCATTAACCTACCCCGGTCCGACCGTATTCCCGCCAGCTTCGCGACGTCCTCCAACTCTTCCAGGAACGTCCACGCATCTCCATCCTCGAAAGCATCAAGCCACGGCACTTACAACCATATCCTGGCAACGGCACCCGTCATTATAATTCCAGAAGGCGGTGCTGGTCGAGGATAATGTTTTATTGAGGAGTTCAGACGGGAAATCACCAATGTAGCATACATATCAATACAATCAAGGCAACTTGGAACTCCTCGGGTGTTTAGACACATACACGGGTGCAAATCAGTCAAAATTTATCTGCACTCGGGTTGCACTGGAATTAGTCGAAATTCAAAAGATCATGTTTTTTTGACAATCATAAGTCCGATTCCTCAAACTCACCAAGCAGATATTGACTCACCGTTCTAGCTGGAACTGAGTCAACGTGACCAGGTCCTGCGACAACTATTTCCTGTTTTGAGGGTGATCAGCCAATGGAATTAGAATAAGACTGACGTGAATAAATATGAAAATATATGAAAATGCGCAGCGTAACTACTCGTCCAAGCTTAAGTGAAACCATTCCAATGCAGGTTCGTGCTGGCTAAATCCAGAGTCACTCCGGTTAAACCCGTAAGGAACGGCAAGCAGTAGTGGTATTTCTGAGACTATTGTAGCATATAACAAGGAAACGAGGCTGCACCCAAATGTGGCCTGCTTTTAGACGAATATTATCATGGTGCTACCTTACTTGAGAAATAGAGAAGAGGAGTACAAAATGTTGATTACTAACAAAACTGTGTTTCTCAGCGAGTAAACATTTTCTCAATGGGGCAACTCCTTAAACAGTTATTCTTCCTTATCTCCCCTCGATTACCGGTTTTATCACAAGGTATTACCATGAGATGGAGGAACACAGGCACAGTTCATATTCACGCAGTACTCAATGGAAAGTAATGGAACATCAAAGGAGCCACAGTTGTGAAACAGATTATGCATATAATTGTATAGGTTTTTAAATCAGGTCGGAATATCAGTCCCAGATAAGTAGTCGTCAGGGTGACAATCAGAGAACGACAATCTGGTTTGGGAACTCACTCTTTCGGGGCCCTCGTAACCCCGAGCCTGGAAAACTGACTAGAGTGTGATCATCCCCATATATACCGCACGTTTCCCCCTTTTTCAATCCACGTTTGGCTAGCACTACCAATAAAGACTATCACTGTTTGTAACAATCTTTTAACTGGGATCGTTGAAATACGCATCGTGAGACCAGGTTCGGTGATAGTTTTAGCGAGACACAACACTCATGATTCAGGAATTCATCCTAACCATAGGTTATTGATGATAGGTGCGCATTTCCAGAGAAATTGATATTCTGTTGACTTCAAAATTTGATCGTCACTCGCTCGTGTGATTGGATTTTCATTGTGGAATGCACAATATTATAGTCTGGTGCAAATGTTCTATACTATGGTTCTATCCGGAAACTGCGTGAAAATTTCCTGGTCCAAGGGAATTCATTCGTATGTTGGGTAAGGTAACTAAAACTGACACGAATGAATACATTTCAAACTGCTTAACATTCGAGCAATAAGCCAGTTGTCAGTCCTTCTGGAATCTTTCACTAACTGAACTACGGGATAGTCGAACAAAAAAACTATAAACATCCGCATTCTTTTTTCCCTCAAGCACTGTGAATGTGTTTAGGTTCAGTCTGTCAGTATTTTTCTGAATATTGACACTGCACCAAAATAAAACTAAAACTAATATCTACCAGTATTTTTTTATTTTTGCACCGGTCTGTTGCTAGAAGAATGCACGTGAGTTTCAACTAACAACCATAATACATATGTAATTACATTGCTTTATAAGCGACAAATCGAATCTCGGGATCAAACAAGGGAAACCCCATTCATGAGCGATTTGAGCAAAATTATTATCTCACTGCTTCAAATGAGAAACTGAGATGATTCATATGGACAGATCAGCAGTTTACTTTCAAGTTCATTCCGTTGACCTCGTATTATGAAGTGAGTTTTGCATGTATTTGTGAAGTGGCTTTTTTCACAAGTCAAGCAGGAAATCCCGATCCTGGTCTAATGACTATATGCAATCCTAACTGGAACTACGCCGGTCAGCAGAAAGTGGGCTATATTGGACAGCAGTCAGCGCAACATAACGGAAAGTGAGGTATGGGAGGATCAATTGCTCTCTATGTCTCTCAATACGTCACAACAAGACGAGAAACGTCTACGGACAGCATTTATAATCCTGGGTTCTTAGAGAATGTCCGTCGAAATCCATTGGTCCACTTCGGTTAAAACAAACGCCAAACATGCACTTTCATGCAGCGGTTTTGTTCAATTTCCTCGATCACTGATTTAAAACGAAAATTGTTTTTATTATGCCCTAGTTAACAAACATTTTCAATGTGAACTTCGGTCATGCATACATCGAATTACTCGTTTGATTTGATTCTTGGTATTGTCGTATCGATGTGCAGACGATGTGATTTATCGGTCTTCCCAGAAAACATCCTTGAGCGGAGACAGATGTTGTTGAATAACGCATAAATTCAGTGGTAATTGGGAATAGCTACCTATCCAAGGATATGTGAACAGTTAATAAACATCAGCTTTACTGTTAGCACATAAAGTCGTGCAAAATCCTCCGCCGGATTATTAATTTTTCGAAGTAGGAAGCTTGTTACGTTATTGGAGGTGCATTTCATTTGTGTTTGATAAAATGCCCCATTACTATCACTCGTCGAACGTGTTTTTAAAGTTGTGTTCACTATGCTGGAGTGAACTGAGCATAACCCAACACAGAGTTTCACGCAATTCTTTGGTTTACCGGTACGATTTCCTAACAATGCAGTGGGAAAATCTATTAGTATTCGAAAAACTGATGAAGTTCATGGCAAGTAATTAAATGATAAAGGCACCATTTAGATGTTATATGATCATTTATCATACTTGAAGCCACCGAACCAAATATGACCCATCGATCCACGAAATTCCAAGTGTGGGTCAAGTCAAGTCAAGTCAAGTCAAGTCAGGTTTCTAGGACGAAAACAGGCTTTCGCCTAACGTGCGTCCAGATTCATACACCAGTAGGATTTGGGACTTCCTCTGGTGCTACGACGTGAATATTTTTTTTTCGTGGGTTATGATGATTCATTTACCTTCTCTAGATTCGGACAGCTGCCCCAGCGAGCAACATTACCAG